TAAGTTTGTATTAATTGAGATTTTTAGAACTCTACAATCTTTTATAACTTCTATCGAATTATGTATTTGTATTAATTGGTTTTATGAACGCAGTTCTTTAATAAATCCAATTATAGCCAAAGCTTACCATAATTAACTTTTTTTTGAAATGAGTTCGAAAAGTGTGGATTTGTATATTCAATAATTGTACAATATAATTTAAATTAAACAATTCTTTTAGTCTGTTCGAGATTATTATTCAGTAACTAAGTTTATGTTTAGAATATGTTTAACAATTTACTCTGGAGTAGTAGTTTAGTTTTATCTCTTAAATAACAATTATGAAGGCTTTCCTTTACTATATTGATTTGAAATTACGCGCCTGGACGTTATTTTGAAGTAGAGAACTAATACTAATAATTAATTTTGACAAATACAACTGATAATTGTTTTTGAAATCATTAAAATTAATTCTTAGCGACCCAATAGTTATTTCGTAGCAATACGGTAGTGCACAGAATAATAATAATGATAAAGGATTAGTAAAAGCACGAAAAATAAACTGAAAAATTTCAAAACCTAATTTTCCGGTGAATCGTAAGGTCGGAGATCATGTGACTGCGCCCTCGATTGTTGGTAACGCTGGGACTTTTGTTGGGCGACGCTAGGGTGGTTATCAGCTAGTTAAAAATCAGAATTGGGTGTAATGTAAAGAATGTTCACTCTGAAGAAATCGTATTTATCTCAAAATTTTGTCTAATAAATTATCTTTAAATTCTAACAAAAAAATTTCCATGTGCAATTTTGTTATACTTTTGGCATTACTAACCTTAATCTAATTCTAAGTAAATACGAACAAAGTTTTTAGCTTAAAGCATTTTGTTTTTCAAGCATCGTGTGATAGTAAAATCAATCCTACGCTCTGTAAAAATCTGTAGAGGAATGTAATTCAAGTTTGAAGATAACGAAAAATAATACTTTATTAATAAAACTGTTATATATCGTAATTGTTTGCAACATTGTGCATTTAAAGTTTTCTTTTTTTTTGATTTGTGCATCCTTCCTAAATATGGAATTAAATAAAATTTTCTAAATTTAGCACACATCATCTTAAATATTGTCGATTTTATGCTATTTAATTAATGTAATGATTGACAAGTAATACAAACTACTAAAAAGAGGCAACTGATCAATTTAATTAACGAAAAAAGAAAAAACAGATAAAGGAATAATATTTAATTTATTTTTATAATAAATTTCTTTTGTTTATGGTTGTATTACTCGTGCAAATGATAAATTCCATGTTAGAAGACACGTCAACGTGGCGTGACGAAAAGAATTTATTGTCACTATAACACAAACATGCAAGACGGTAGCTATCGCATAAAAGTGTATGATAGCGTCTAGTTTCTAGTTTTGTAGTGACATATAGTTCGGAACTTTGGTAGTCACACTTTCTTTTATTTTTATTTTTATTTTCTTAGGCTATTTTCGTTTGCATTTTATCTGATAAAATAACCATAATAAAGAAGCCAGTTATTACAGAAAACGGTAGTCGAATAATATGCAGTTGACATAACTTTAAGTGGAAACAATTTGTTAGTATAATGCGTTATGTTACCACAACACAGATAACTTACAATTTATGCACAGGATATGCACAGTATAAAGAAGAAATCGAGGAAGTTGAAACGTATTAGTGCATAATAAAGGAAAAATGTATTTGAGGAATGGATATTCGCATTAATAAAATTTTGATGCATTGAATATAAAGAATCTATTTCTCAATGCTTGATTAAAAGATTAATGAAAAGCTTTAGTTGAAGTTTGAGTTACCACTAAGGATAATATCGCCTGTTCTCCCAACTATTATAATTCTGAGATCAGTATTACAAAAAATCGAAAATATTTTCGCATAACCTTGTAAAGTTTCTTCACGAAAACTTTTTTGCTTATTACAGAGTTGTCATGCTATCTGCTTGAAGTTGTAACTTCAACCGTTTGACTAAAATCAGCCCCTGAATTTAGATCTTCTTGCATGCATTAGTAAGCAGCTTTAACTTCAAGCACGACAGTGTTATTGCGTAACTTGTTGCTTGACATTTTGACACACCAATTACATTGATATGCTGTTTACAATACAATACGTACGTATTGTAGCTGAATAATCTAATAGCACATAAACGATACATCACAACTAATTACCTCACCATAATTCTCACTTCACCAATATAGTAAACAATTATTCCCGGAAATATCTTACCATTAAAAATATCTTTCTAATAACTATTGAAACAGAATCAATAATTATAATATGGATTCTCAACACCATATCTTACCACGAAAAAGTTGGATAGTACCTAAGGTTACAAAAACTCAGCGGTCACACCTAGTATTAAATAAAGTTATAAAAATAATGCTAAATCTTGGCAATATCAACAATAAGTCGTGTGTTCAATATTTTGTTTAGTCATTTGCAGGGTTTCATCCTTTTTTTTAGTCTCTAGCAGAGTTCTGAATTGAAATATACAAATTTCTAGTTTCGTATAGTTATATCTAATTATCATTTTATTCATTATAAATAGAATCTATCTCAAACACTATTAATGTAAATAAAATATGCTTGTATACATTAATAATCCATTAATATATTAACCTAGTAAATGAAGTTTTCGCTTAATATTGTTCTAATTACAAGAATTATTTAATTTACTGATTGAGCAGTATTTTGTTCACTAACGAGTTACATTGTGAGAATTACTCAAATTTTTCGAATGTATTACTTTCACCGATTAAATTCCAAATCCTACAATTGGAATTTAAAAATATCTATAGGCGGAATTTATTAAACTAAGTAATTAATCTATTCTTTTCTATAGTAATAAATCAATGATATTGGCTTCATATTGTTTGTTATTTGGTTCCACGATTCATAATTTATAATATCAATTTTCCGATGTGCATTACTGCATTAAATAATTCGATTGGATAATATTTATAAAGACAAGCATTAAGAAAGATTAATTAATACATCCAATGTATGTTAGAGGTTTTATTAGATAAAGCCTCTACATACTTTCTTGGCGTAACTCAAATTAACAATTCTTTTTTATTATCTTCGATCATTGTTTTAATAAAACTTTGTAAACAAAAATGATTTGATTCGATCTCCTAAGTTTCATAATATTTTTTTCACGATGACAAAGTATCAATTAATTCCTTTTCCCTTTCATTATAAATAGAGCCAATATTTCATTATTTTAACGATTAATAGATGCAAAATTATTCTTGATTAATATCCTCCTTAATAATTTTATATTTGGATTCTTGAAATCCGTATACAAGTGACTCTTGATATAAGAAACTGGCCGGGTCCAGTTAAAATCTTTTTTAAATCTTGATTTTTCTTATATCGAAGACTTTCGGCTATAAAATTCTCAATTTAAACTTATAATATCTTTATTAAATCTCAAGAGTTTTTTTTATATCGAAAGTTTCTTATATCTAGAGTTACTTGTACGGGTAATATGAATTCATTTCGCTCTATTCCATCTTTATTCATCTTCTTCATCCTTTTACTCCTAACCGTAATTACTGCCAACCAAGATGATCTAGATGTTCTCGAAAAACGTAATCCTCATAATACCAAATCCCAACATAATATTAATCCTATTGCAAATAAACATACTACCTCTAATCCGGAAGGTAAATCAATAAAGACTACTGCTAAACCTGGTGTTAAAGCAGTAAGATCTTTCAATAGAAGAAAATATAATAAAATAGAAAAGTTTATTAAGCTGAAGAATGTCAAAGCAGTAAAAAATGCTAAATCAGAAGGCAGGCCAAAAAGGACACCAAAGATCATTGCTAAACAAGAAGGAAAGGCAAAAAAAATTACTGCTATATCAGAGGACAAAGTAATAAAGACTGCCGCGAAACCAGAAGGAAAACTTATAAAAAAAATCTGTACAACAGAAGGCAAAGTAATAGAAACCGATGCTAGACCAAAAGGAAAGGCACTAAATATCATTGATAAAACAGAAGGAGAGGCAAAAAAGATCATCGCTAAACCAGATAACAAAGTAATAAAAGCCACTTGTACAACAAAAGACAATGTAATAAAGGCCACTGATAAACCAGAAGAGGTGATAAAAACTACTTTTAAGCCAGAGGAAAAGACGGTAAAGACCACTGCTAAACTTGATGGTAAAGTAATAAAAACCACCTGTACAACAGAAGACAAGGTTATAAAGACCACTACTAAGCCAGAAGAAAAAGCAGTGAAGGCTACCGTTAAACCAGATGACAAAGTAATAAAAAATACTTGTACAACAGAAGGCAAAGTAATAAAGACCACTGCTAAACAAGAAGAAAATGTGATAAAAACCACTATTAAACCAGAAGAAAAGACGGTAAAAACCACTGCTAAACCAGATGGTAAAGTAGTCAAAACCACCTGTACAACAGAAGGTAAAGTGATAAGGACTACCACTCGACCAGAAGAAAAGGTGATAAAGACCACTGCTAAACCAGAAGAAAAGGCGACAAAGACCATTTCTCAACCGGATGATAAAATAATAAAAGCCACCTGTACAACAGAAGGGAAAGTAATAAAGACCACTACTAAGCAAGAAGAAAATGTGATAAAGGCTACCACTAAACCAGATGGCAAAGTAATAAAAACCACCTGTACGACAGAAGGCAAAGTAATAAAGACCACTGCTAAGCCAGAAGAAAATGTGATAAAAACCACCGTTAAAGTACTAAAAACCACCTGTACAACAGAAGGCAAAGTAATAAAGACCACTGCTAAACCAGAAGAAAATTTGATAAAGACCACTGCTAGACCAGATAACAAAGTAATAAAAGCCACCTGTACAACAGAAGGCAAAATAAAGACCACTGCTAAATCAGAAGATGTGATAATGACTACTGCTAAATCAGAAGATGTGATAATGACTACCGCTAAACCAGATGGTAAAGTACTAAAAACCACTTGTACAACAGAAGTCAAAGTAATAATGACCACTGCCAAACCAGAAGAAAATCTGATAAAGACTACTACTAAACCAGAAGAAATTGTGATAAAGACCACCGTTAAACCAGATAACAAAATAATAAAAGCCACCTGTACGACTAAAGACAAAGTAATAAAGACTACTGCTAAACCAGAAGAAAATGTGATAAAGACTACCACTAAACCAAAAGAAATTATTATAAAGACCACCGTTAGACCAGATAACAAAGTAATAAAAGCCACCTGTACAACAGAAGACAAAGTAATAAAAACCACTGCTAAACCAGAAGAAAAGGTGATAAAAACTACTACTGAACCAGAAGAGAAGGTGGTAAAAACCACTGCAAAATCGGATGACAAAGTAATAAAAACTACCTGTACAACAGAAGGAAAAATAATAAAGACCACTGCTAAACCAGAAGAAAATGTGATAAAGACCACCGCTAAACCAGATGGTAAAGTAATAAAAACTACCTGTACAACAGAAGGCAAAATAATAAAGACCACTGCTAAACCAGAAGAAAATGTGATAAAGACCACCGCTAATCCAGATGGTAAAGTAATAAAAGCCACCTGTACAACAGAAGGAAAAGTAATAAAGACCACTGCTAAACCAGAAGAAAAGGTGACAAAAACCACTACTGAGCCAGAAGAAAATGCTGTAAAAACTACTGCTAATCCAAATGGCAAAGTAATAAAAACCACCTGTACGACGGAAGGCAAAGTAATAAAGACTACTGCTAAACCGGAAGAAAAGGTAGTAAAAACTACTACTACGCCAGAAGAAAAGACGGTAAAGACTACCGCTAAACCAGATGGCAAAGTAATAAAAACTACTTGTACAACAGAAGGAAAAGTAATAAAGACCACTGTTAAACCGGAAGAAAAGGTGATAAAGACCACTACTAAACCAGATGACAAAGTAATAAAAACCACCTGCACAACAGAAGGAAAAATAATAAAGACCACTGCTAGACCAGAAGAAAATGGGATAAAGACTACCGCTAAACCAGATGTCAAAGTTATAAAAACCACCTGTACGACAGAAGGTAAAGTAACTAAGACCACTGCTAAACCAGAAGAAAATGTGGTAAAGACCACCGCTAAACCGGATAACAAAGTAATAAAAGCCACCTGTACAACAGAAGGCAAAATAATAAAGACCACTGCTAGACCAGAAGGAAATGTAATAAAGACCACCAATAAAGCAGAAGAAAATGCGGTAAAAACTACTGCTAAACCAGAAGAAAAGGTAATAAAAGCCACCTGCACAACAGAAGGAAAAGTAATAAAAACCACTGCTAAACCAGATGGCAAAGTAACAAATACCACTGCTAAGCCGAAGAAAGGAAAAGCAGCAACTACTTGTAGAGAAGACACGAAAATAAGGGCTACCACTAGACCTAAAAATAAACACACATGAAAATGACAATAACAAACGATTATTGAGATGAAGAATTTTAACATAACTTATGAACAGTTTTCTAATTTAATTCAACAAGTTATTTTATACATATTAATTAATTGAATATAATATTTATGATGCTGGTTTTAATTTAATGTTTAAGAGTAAACTTATCATTTCTTGAACAACGTCACATATGCATAGTAGCTATTTACTAAAATTCTAAAAACTGTGTACTGATGATTACAAACTTCTGAGATAATATTTTGTGATTTAGAAATAAAAATTGTCATTTAGACTTGTTCACTAATTTCACAGTAATTGGTATTTGATAAAACTAAGAGAAATATTTAGTAAAGCTATTTGAGCGAATAAATCAAATTAATTGTTAATGTAAACAACTATCTTATTTACCCGTGATGTAAGACAACTTGTAAGCACCATCAATTTCCATATATGAAGGCTTCTTTGAGACCATGGCATACAGTGGCAATCATAAATAATGCAACAAAAAAAAAATTTTAGTTAGACAGTATTATTGGTTTTTTTATTTTATTCGTGAATAGTAATATTTTCATCAATAAAAAACTTTTAAAAAAATAATGAACAAAATATTTCGCGGGTACGAGCTTTATTTCAATTCACGTGTTGCATTACTTTTGCTCGTTTTTTACAGAAACACGATCATAAAACAAAAAAAATTTTTAACCCTTTTTTTTGCTATCTAATAAGTTTCAGTCTTCACCAGCTGATAGCCGCCCCGGGCTCTAATTACATCATGAATTCATTCTGTAGTTGAACGAATCAGCCTTGTGCAGATTTCAGATCGATCGCCTGTCAGATCACCTGGATCTTTTCCCAAAGGTCTTTCTCACTTAAAATGATCAGAGAGGTTCCTAAGATGATGGTCAACTTCACATCACAGGTATTTCAATCAGATTAAGGAAAAGGGATTAGGGATCCAATTAAAGAACTGGATCTTGTTTCTTTTAAGTCAACATTTATCAAAGTTGTTGTATGACAAGATGCACTATCTTGTTGGAACATAATCTTCTTAACATCAAAATCATGATCTTTGATGATTCACAATAAATTTTCATGGAATATTTTCTGGTATAACTCATCATCCATTGTGTCATCAATCTTATGATAATTACTAATATTAAGAAAGAAAAAATAACCTCAAATCATAACTGACTCATTATTATAAATTTAATATAAAAGTGGTTTAATGATTCTTTATAATGTTTCCAATAATATTGTTTCCTATCTAATCTAAAAATTTGAAATAATGACTCATCAGATCAAATTACCTTAAATCAGTCTTCAATAGTCCAATTTTGATGTTTTTTACAAATTTAAGATGTTGTTTTCAATGACTATTCTTCTGATACAGTTTTTTTTCTTTATTTTTTATATTAAATTATATCTACAAAATATGTAATGAATATTTGTTACTAAAATTTGTATATTTTTATTTATTTTGAGATATGTTCTTACTTTAATAGTAGTAGATTAGTAGTAAGAGATAATGAGATTTATTATTCTTCTCTAGGTTTGTTCACCCAATAAAATTAAGTGTTAACCTTTCCTAAATTTTTTCAAAAGAATAGTTTGTTAACTATCTTTTTTTGATATATGAGATCATGAAATAACTAATATTGTAAATCTAACTTATGGTTCTTGTAATATATTCTTTCTAAAATAAAAGTAATACTTGAATTCATTGAATAAGTATTGTTCAGTTTTTTTTTGTTTTCTTAATTATTAATTGTGTTAATATTATATAAGATACAAATTAATAAAAAATTTTATATATTTATATTTATTTAAATAATATAAATTGTGTTATCTGATCTTTGTCAAAAATGAGCAAAAATAATATAACATATAATTTTTTTTTACTTATCTTTGCTATTCTGAATGTTCTTAGATACCTTTAGGATCTGTTACATCTCTTAAAGACCAGAGTTATCATTTTGTAAAGAGCATTAGACAGAGTGTTGTCTCTACATGTTACTGAACTTATGAGATAAAACATATACCCTTATTAATAACACTAAACAATACTTTATTTAATATTCACTCAGCCTCATTTAATCAATTATTTCTTACTGACCTATTTTATAAATCTTTATCTATATTAGTTACTTTTATATCTAATCACATAATCCATAGACCTAAGGTTTTTTCTCAATCTACACTCTTTAATATTTACAACATATAACCTACTATTCACTTTCCAACAACTGAAACATTTATATCTATCTTATACAAACTATTACACTTATTAATATATAAACATAATACATGAGAATACAATAACAATATAAAACAACAAGTTTGAAAGAATTATTGTCTATCTCATAATATCATCATAGCTAGCATTACAGAAACTAAAATTGTATAAGATAATACAGATATTAAATTTTCTAGAACTTAACAGTTTATCATTAACTGGTCTTGTACTAATAGTTATAAAACTAGAACAGCAATTATGATTAAAAATATCTAAAACTACATGTAAATAAAATATTTCAATTTCCTAATTATGCTATTACTATAGATCTTTTCTTTAAATATAATTTTAAATTTTATATTATTTTAGTCTATCTATATAGTGATGATCTTCAACTTAGACTTTTTATTTAAAATAATATCATATAATAGATTTAAGAAACAAATACCAAAAACATATAACCAATAATTATGGATAACTTTAATGTTTCTAATAATTTACAATTATTATTAATCAAATTCAAACTTATTCATTTTTTCTAATATAACAATATATATGACCTAGCTAAATACACATAATCCTTAACTTCCACCTGACATAGCAGCAGATACAGTAGTCACATTGACTACATTTGAACTAATTATTCTATTATTTGATACTTAACTTCCTATTATAGATAATACTAACTAAAATATACTCAGTGTTTAAAAAATATTAATATTATTATAGAAATTCTCCTATGCTATTATTGACAAATGATAATTAGCTATTAAAACCAAATAAAAGATCTTTGCCTATAAACAAATGAATTAAGACTATTGGCAAGACTTTGTTAATCAAGTCACATCTAATCTTCAAGCTAACAAGACTCTTTTACAACTAATATTACAGAATCACTTAAAGCCTCATATATAAAATTTAAAAAAATATTATTGTAATTGCTTTGTAACACATCTCTAACAAAAAATTTATTATTCACAACTTTTAATACATCTTCTTTTTCAAAGCATCTAAACTACATTTATATCTTAAAAAACTTAGCAATATTATAAGACAGATCAAAGTCTTAATTCAAAACCAAACTTCAATATCTACATCTTATAATTAAAATATTAAGCAGCTTATCTCTTTTTAACATTTTAATATACCTGCTTTGTCTCATGATTCTAATCTTTTATCTAACTAAATAACTGCAGCTAATACTAAATAGAAAACACTTTATTATGTCTAAAACCTGAAAAATATTAAAAATATAAGAAAACAAATCAATAATAACATAGTCAAAAGATGTAATAAACTTTAAAATAGTCTAATGCTAATAATTAATAATATACTTAATCAATACAAAGATCCTGTTAAATTTGATAATATCAAAAAACAAAATAATATTATTACTAAACCAACTCTTATTAAACAGCAGATTTAACAAAATTTTGATGACTAGACAGCTCCTAAAAACATCTAATCACAACTATTTAACACAATGTAGTAACAAAAATACTAATCTAAAACTAATATTGATTCTATATAGTACTAATTAGCACTTAATAAATTTTCCTCAATAGAAGTCTTTGAAGTTATTAGCAACTTCCTAACAATAAAACATGTAGGCTATCAGGCATTAGTTATAAAATGCTTAAACATGCTAAAACACTATTTCTTAATACAATTACAGCTCTTTTTAATCACTATTTTTATATCTAAACAAATTTCAAACTAATAGAAAAAAGAAAGAATTTTTTTTATATTCAAAAAGCCTATTTTTAATAGCAATCTAACTAATACCAGACCTATTAGTTTGCTTAAAAATGTTAAAAAACTTTATACCAAACTTTTTACTAAGTATCTTAACTATATTTTTACTCATCACAAAATTTCATTACTCTTTAACTAAATAGCTCTACTTTGCAATAACATAGCTATTTCTATACTCATTCTTAACAATATTATTGAAGAAGTTTTTTGTAATTCTAAACAACTTTGGTTTCTATCTTAGAACATAAGTAAAGTTTATGATTCTATAGATCTAAAACTTTTTACCAAATTCTTACTATGTTTATATGTGCTATCCAATCTTATTAACATTCTTACCAACTTACTTACTAATTAATATAATCAGATTATTACAAATTAAGATTTTACTAATTCATACAATGTTAAAAATAGCATTAATTAAGAAGAAACTATAACTCCATTATTTTGGAAAATCTATTATGATTTTCTAATTAACAAAATAGTCTCTAACTTCTTAGAATATACTTTGGCTACAAAGTAGAACACTAGTTTGTTTTAACTAAAGTTTTAACAACTTCAAATTTCAGTATCTGTATTAGTATATATGAATGATACAATTTAGATAGCTATATCCAAAGAAGAATTACAAACATTATTGCTATAGACATCTTCTTTTACCATATAACTAATATACAAATTAATTTAACTAAATTAATCCTTATCTCAAACATCTCATCTACAGCCCCTATTCACTTCTTTAATTCATCACTTATATCTACTTCTGCAAACTAACTATTCGAATTTTCAGAATACTAGTTTACTTTTAACAACTCCTATACAATATAAAGTCAATTAATCTATAATAAAGCAATTTAACTTATTAACATTACAGGCATCAAAAGAATTATAGACAAACAAACTATATATATTACCAATACTATAATTATTCCTAATATTGAATACAGACTATATAATATAATTCTTAAATACTCTACCTATAACAACATTCTATCCAAATACCTTGCTATAATTAAACATAAAGCCA